GAGAGGGAGTCAGTGTGGACAGGAGTGGCTAAAGGAGGCTTCATGGTTTTAAGGTTTGAAAGAGGTAGGTATGGATACCCTAAGTGTGTATGCTTTTGCAAGTCAGGTTTTTGGTTTTGCTTGCATTTTACGGTGGAGCTTTGCAGTTTTGATGCTGAATGAATGCTTTGGTGACCCTGGGTAGGGGGTCAAAAGACCATCAGTCTGTTGGTCTTCCCTTCAAAGGAGTACATTATCTTGTTTCCTCATTTGTAAAATTAAGTCCCTTGTACTAATATTTAATGGCAGGTACAGCCTGCAAGAGGAATGCTGCCCCCTAGTGAAAAACCTATGGTCCACACGGACAAATAGGCGTTGCTTTTATCAAGCTATTGGCAAGACACGCATCGTCCTTCCAGCTGTGGAAGAGAGAAGACAGACTGGAAGAATAATGGCCGGCCTTCATCAGATGTTTAGAAGAGCACCACAGTCAGGGGGATTTTGGTAGAGGTTTCCTGTTAGTTTTTTGTACTGACTGTGACATAAAGTCTTGATGTGATACTCACTGAATGCTTAGTCCTGGAAAAGCGAAGAGGGTTTTCCTGAGTATACTTACGATCGTTTGTTTTAAAACTTTATTCTCTTAGTCTGTAAAAATTAGAATAACAGCATAAAACCTAGGAAATTTGATAAATTGGACACCTTACCCAGATTCTTGCGACCTCATATAGCTCGTTCACTTCACCTTTTATACAGAAAACACTGCGTGCGGCCATCTGGTTCTCTTCATCACATTTTCAGTACAGAATAAAACACACGCTCAGGCTTGGATTCCAGTCCCAGCTCCACAAAGCTCTGAGATCTTGGGAATGTTGTGTAACACTCTGAACCTGAATTTTTTTATCTGAAAAATTTATGGACAATAATATTCACCTTACATAGGGTATGAGGACTAAGTGAGATTACAAGTTATAAAACATACATATCACGTTTTGGGTATATACTAATAGGTCTAATTCATTATACCGCCTTCTTCATCCTCTTGCTCAGTTTAGCTGCAGTAGCTGTTAAGTGCCACCCTCCTCCCAGCACATGTATGTGTTGACACATGAGCGCCTGCATGCACATAAACATGCACGCACACAAACGTGCGTGCTGGGCAAACATCAGACTGCTTATAATTAGATACTAGTGGTCTCCTAAACACAGCCTGCACTTGCCTTCCTCTGTGTTTTGATCTGCAGGTACCCCTTGGCCTTAAATGTGTTTCTCTTTCATCTCTTTCAAAATCCTACCCAGCTTGAGAGTCCCAACTTGCCACTTCCTGTTAAGCTTTTCTTTATCCTTTCAGTTGTAATTAATCTCATGCCTTCTTTTCACTTCACTGTTAATGTGCGCCTTTGTTGTAGAAGTTAGTGTGTAACGTCTTATATTGTGGTTAGAACTTTTTGTGTGCACCTTTCCCAAACCCTGAGCTTCTAGGAGCAGAGGTCATAACTTCTCCTGGGGCCTTGCACGTAGTAAGCACACAAACAAGGTTGTTAGGACCTTAAAGTTCAAAACAAAATGAAACAAACAAACAAAACCCTCCTTACGTTTGTTTTGATTTCTAGATTAGGTTAAGCATAGAAATATATTCATTATTGTTGTTTTTTACCATTAAGTATCCATTTGTTAGATGACGAAATAGTGAGTTGGTTTTAAATATTGTTTAAATATTCTTTAAGTTTCCTAGATCTTAAATTAATATGAAGAATAAAAACAGTTACTAGGTAGAGATGTTTTTTTGGAAAAAGAGACCGTCATCCTACTCATAGAAGTCTGAGAATAATTTACCCAGTTAAGGACAGGATTGAGTAGGAATTTCATTGAGGAAATAAAATCAACTTGGATGACAAGAATTGGGCTGTTTGGTTATGAGTAGTCGTCAGTAGAACCTGTACTAGAAAATGGGTTGGGGAATCGGATGATTAAGTGGACAATGGCCCATATGCAGTGTGTACTGCTGTGCGGCAGTTAAGAAGGAGGCGAATCTGCAAGCACTTAAGTTTTGGGAAAGATCTTATTAAATGGAAAAAAAACTCAAGTAAGCCATAGAACAGTGTATATACATTATAATCCGATTTACAAATAGTTTTTAATATTTTTCTTTGTACATTTATATTCATACAAAAGCATAAATAGTGTGTATCTTGTAACAAGGTCTAGAAAGATATACGCCAAGTTCATAACCATGGTTACCTCAGAGAAGGAATATGTGGATATAAGAATGGAGGAACTATGAAGGTGGACTTTCTGTTTTTGTTCCCTTTGTTTCTGAATAGTTTAAATTCTGTAGCAGAAGAACATATTTATATGTTGCTTATACAACTAAGAAAGAAAAGAGCCCTGGCTGGTGTGGCTCAGGGGATTGAGCGCTGGCCTGCCAGCCAAGAGGTTACCAGTTCGATTCCCAGTCAGGGCACATGCCTGGGTTGCAGGCCATGTTCCCCGTTGGGGGTGTGCAAGAGGCGACCAACTGACGTTTCTCTTGCACAACCATGTTTCTCTTCCTCTCTTTCTCCCTCCTGTCCCATCTCTCTGAAAATAAATAATTAAAATCTTTAAAAAGAAAGGAAACACCAGAAAGGAGCAGCATTGGGAATAATTTTTTTAGGCTCTAAACTACAAAAACAATCTTAGTACCAAATTTATCTTCACTACATCATCCATTTTCAGGTTTTTGGCCTTTGGGTTACTGTCCTTTAACAATTAAAAAAAAAGTGGGGGAGGCGGTTAGAAATAGTCTTCAGAGTAATTTTTACAAATATTATTTTTATTGGCAGAGGTAGTTTCATTTCCAGTTCCTTTTGCAAGTTTCTGCTTATGGAACCTTAAATCATGTATCTCTAAAGAATTCTCATGCCACTGCTTCTGTACTAGCTCACTCAGAAAGCTTTGGAGAGGGAAGTATAGACCAAGAGGGAAAACATTAAACAGATTAATGTTCAGCTTATCTCCTATCTCTTGTATTGGTATCTTTTTCCTGGGATATTTTCTTGCTCTGTGTCTCTGTGTGAAATCAATCAACATACATGTATTCTAGGTTAATGGCAAAACCTGGCATTTGGGGTTTCAGCTAGAATTAGCTCAGTGCATCATCTATTGGTTAAATATTGTACCTGGTTAGCCTAATTCTGTTCTGCAGCTGTCAGTCACACCATTAACTCTAGCAAAGCATTTTACAAATAACGAATAAATGTACATACAGTAAAAGAAAACTTAGGTGGATCACTACATTTTAAGTACTTTACATATTGACTCAATTTTTATATCCTAAACTTAACACTTTCTACTTTTATTTTAAATAAATTTTGTCTTGTTCACAAGTTCAGTGAAGATTACAGATAAGCAAGGGGAACATTAGAACACTCTTAAACTCTTCGCATTCATTCCATGTTAATTGCTGTTAACATTTTACAGAGAAAGAATTGCACAGGAAGGCAATTGACAAGAGAGAAGGAAAAGTAGGGAGGTATGTGCAGGGTCCAGCAGAAGTAACACCTGCTTCAGTGAGGTTGGTAGGGTGCATGGATGTCTTACACGAGGTGGACAGCAATTTGAACATTTCACCTAAAATGTCATATGGTGTGCTTGAGTGTGACTTTGTTATGTTACAGAATTACATGCTTATGACTTTGTAATAAAACTTTGTAATAAAAAGTGGGGGCGGCATTATTTGTGCTGGACCCTGTAGGTAACATATGGTGAACTAAGGAGTAAAGAAGCAGATGTAGAAAAAGAATTTTTGAAGTATTCTGTATATAGAAAAATTTAAAAGCACCAGGTCTGAGGTTTAGGATCTGGAAAGTTCTGGTGGTAGTATAATCTCATTTTAAAGCAAATGACACCCTGGCTGGTGTAGCTCAGTGGATTGAGCGTGGGCCTATGAACCAAACGTTGCAATTTGATTCCCAGTCAGGGCACATCCTGGGTTGCAGGCCAGGTCCCCAGTGCAGGGCAGGTGAGAGGCAACCCACATATTGCTGTTTCTCTCCCTCTCTTCCTCCTTCCCTCCCCCTCTCTCTAAAAATAAGTAAATAAAAATAAAAATAAATTTAAAAAATAAAGCAAATGGCAGTCTAAGATAGGTAAGAAAAACAATTAGAATAAAGAAATCCTTGCTCTTGTCATATCTTGGAGGTTTCATAGATGTCTAGGTTGAGAAAGGAAGACAGTTAATTTCTTTCTCACATGTCAATCTAAAAACAAAATGTAGTGCAATTTTTTTTAAGCAGACCTAGGATTCATCTGGACTCTGGAGCTATAAACCTAAGGCTGTGGTGGCATTTAAATGAGCAAAACACAGTCCTCAAATTTTGTAGTCTGAGTTAATTATCTTACTCGTATAGATCACAGGTGGCAAACACAAGGCCCTATAGGGTGCCAAATCTGGCCCTCCACCTTGTTTTATCTGGCCTGGCACTGTGTTCTGCCTGGTAGCAGCTCTGAGCTCTCACCTAACTGTTAAGGAGCAGTTACATTTATACAGTCTTAAACTTACATTTGGCCCTTTGAAGGCAATTGCAAGGTTGATGTGGCCCCTGGTGAAAATGAGTTTGACACCCCTGCATAGTTATACCTACTCTGTCATTCCTGTGCATTCACTATTGAGAATTTGGTGGCTTTTCTTCTAAAACCACATTTAACTAATATTTTGACTCTCACATTTACTGTGCTAAGACGTGAGGGGAAGGATGAAGTTCTTTATTACAGTCAGAAATCTTGGGAAAATAGTTTGTCTTCATAGCGTACCACATTATAGTATTTATTAAGGTTTTAATAAAAATAAAATGTAAAAAAATCTGCGATAGAAACATACAAACATTTGTAGGGGAGGGAAGAAGCCCTAGATTTAAAATATGTTAGAATGATGACAGAAGAGATTTTAAGTTTGGTGAAACTTTTTAAAAGACTTGCCTTGTGTCCTTGACCAGAGCAGTTTTTTCAGGGAGTAGGTTCATGATTCCCCTCTTTTCCAGATTGCGAAAGTTGAGAAGCTCAAACCTTTGGAGGTGGAGCTGCGGCGCCTGGAAGACCTCTCCGAGTCCATCGTAAACGACTTTGCCTACATGAAGAAGCGAGAGGAGGAGATGCGCGACACCAATGGTGAGGCAGGGGCAGCTCTCGTTTCTCAATCAGTGACCGCAAGGGAGTCAGGTCCCAAACTCTAGATTCTGGTGTCCCTTTTCTCAGTTTTGCCAAGGGTGGCAGGGGTGGGGGCAGGGTGTCGGGAAAGATAATTGCTTATTTCACTGTTGCTGCTATAGGTAAACAAGCTTGGTTAGATTTTTCAAGGGAATAGAAGTTTCTTCGTGATATGCAATTGACCATATTCTCAGCTTGTTGTGTATCAAATTGGTAGTACTAATCTTTGTAGTTTTTAACATTTTATATAGAATAATGGAAATAAGTTAATTAATTGCCTTTTCTCCCTGGCCACTGGCCATTGTTTAGCCTGCTGGGCCCCACTTCATCACATTCACACCTTTGTTTTGTTTTTTTAGAGTCAACAAACACTCGGGTTCTATACTTCAGCATCTTTTCAATGTTCTGCCTCATTGGACTAGCCACTTGGCAGGTCTTCTACCTTCGTCGCTTCTTCAAGGCCAAGAAGTTGATCGAGTAATAAGGCCTGCGCTCCTCCCACCTTGTCTCTCAGCCAGCAGAACATCACCGGACATGCCTGGCCCTCAGGCATGCTACCAACAGCACCATCAAGGCACACTGGGACTTCCTTGCCGGAACTGATCTTGCTTGGTGTGGGAGGACATGGGTTACCCCAACACCCAACAAGTCATCAAGGGACTTTTTTTTTAACTTGATAGCATTTGGACTGGTTTTGCAACAATAGGACTGTTATTAGAGTCACCTATGACAAAAAATAGGGGTTACCCAGGTAATGCCAAAGCCAGCATTTGTACTGGGTTTCCTCATGTGATCCGGTTGAACCATGTTTTATTTTCTTCTCCCACTTGCTCACTAGCTTGGGCTTCCACCCTAGTTCCTTTACCAAGATTCGAATGACCATGTGGAACTTGTTTCATTCTAATTGTCCTTTTTCAGATTTCTGTGTGAAAAACACCCTTATCTTAACCCTTAGCTGAAATGTTTAGGTAGCTTCTGGTGATATCCTTTCATAATTCTTTGTCTCTTAAAAGGGTGATTTCTATGTGACACATAGAAATGAGCTTTGAACTATAGATTATTCTTACAGAAAATTTCAAAATTTCATTTTAGAGAATTAAAATAGTTGTGCACAAGTGCTTGAATTTTTTCGTGTATTTAGTTCTCTGCAGTTCTGTTACATGTGTAGATTCATGTGACCCCCCACTGCAAAGTGCAGCCCGGCTCCATCACACGGGTCCCTCGTGCTACCTTTTACAGCCACAGCCCCTGCCCTTCCTTATCCCCAAACCCCCACGCCTGGCAACCACTAATCTGTTTCCCATGTCTCCGATTTTGTCACTGCTAGAACATAATATAAAGGGAATCATACAGTATGTGACCTTTTGATTAACTTTTCCACTCAGCATAATTCCCTTGAAGTCCATCCAGGTTGTGGCATGTATCAGTAATCAACAGTTTTTTCACTGTTACTGCTCAGTGGTATTTCATGGTAAGGGTGTACCAGTTTGGTTTATCATTCACTCGTTGAAGAACATTGGGGTCGTTTTCAGGTTTGGGCCATTAGGAATAAAGCTTCTGTGAATATTCATGTACAGGTTTTTATGTGAACATAAATTTTCATTTCTCTGGGATGAATGCTGAAGAGGGCGGTTGCTGGGCTGTGTGGTCAGCACATGTTTATTTTTTAAAGAAACCACCCTACTCTTTCCAGAGCGAGTGTGCCATTGTGTTTATGTTCCCACCAGCAATGGATGACCAATCAGGTTTCTCTGCCCTCTTTGGTATTTGCTGTTACTACTTTTTATTTTAGTCATTCTGATAGATGTGTGTAATGAGACCTCATTATGATTTTTATTTGCATTTTCCTGATGGCTGATGATGTTGAACATCTTTTCATGAGCCTGTTTGCCATCTGTGCATCTTCCGTGAAATATCTGTTCATGTCCTTTGCCCATTTTCTGATATTCTTGGTACTAATGAATTTTGAGAGCTCTGTATGTATCCTAGATCCAAGTCCTTTGTCAGATATGCGGTTGCTTGAATTTTTAACATAACATCTACCAAGGAAAAAAATCAGTACAATTTCACCAGGTCTTCTTACATGGCCAGTCACTGACTTAATTCTTGTCCTTCTGTGTCCCCCTGAGACATATGAGGTTTAAAACACACACATAACACCAGGAGGATCATCATGACTAAATACTTGAGAATATGTGTTATGAAAGCAAAAGCAAGAATCACTCTAAGAATATGAGGTTCGCAAAGGACAATACTAACGTAAATAAGAACGTGGATAAAAATGACCATGTTTGTAAAAAACGGTTATAAAAAAATACTATCACTTGAAATTTTCCCCACTTCTCCCAGGAAAGGAGGTAGGAATTTGTCCCTTTGTAATCTCTGTTTTAACCCTCCTGACTGTCACGGGCCTTGTGTAACTGCAGTGGCAAGAATTACAGGACTTGGGGCCACACAGCTTGCAGTTAAGCGGCACACTGGAATTAACAAGGGAGGTGACCTGGATGAAGTACAAAGGCGGAAGAGGACGTGAGTTATGTCATCAAAATCTCAGGCTGTTCTGTTAATGTTCCAGCTATTGTGAACCCCAAAGCCTTTTTCCCTCTTTTTTTGGCTCCCTGTATGAATTTCTCTGGTGTGGCATGGAAGTGGTTCTTTCATTAATCTGTGCAACATTGCCACCTGCTGTTAAGAATTGATAGGCACTGCTGAGAACCTGGCTGCTGAATCCTTGCTGTAAAGGCAGCAGGTGTCGAGAAGGTCTGTGTTGTTAACTGTACAGAACGACAGGATACACCAAAGTAGGAAAGAGAATGACCAAATTTGTGGGTTAAGATCAATCCTTAGACATTTAGAGATGAAATGTTGTACCGTTAGCCTGATAAGATACTCGCACATTTCTGACTGGTGCTTTTCCCCTTATAGCAGCAATGAAAACGACTCAGTTGGTTATGATACTGTGTTCTGACCAAATGTCAATGAAGGAAATAGAAGAGAATATTTTATTTTGCTGATGATTTTGTTCCCAAATGTGACTTTATGAAACTAAAATTATTTCATGTCCTTTTTATTCATGCCAAAACTACCAACTCGGACATTTGTGCTTTTGGTTTAAAATTCATTGATATTACACCTAGATGTTATCTAAAGAGTAAATTTATTTGCCTTCGATGAAAGGCTAGTGCAAGAGCAAATCAGCTTTAGAAATGAGAGTGTTGCCTGGTTTCTTCTTGTTTCTGAGCCTATTCAACACGATCTGTATGATATGGACGAGAGTGATGCAGTTTAAGAAAGCTGTGTTACACCATTGTCGTAAGCTCGTCATAAGCCATTTTTCTGCTGTTTAATGGGAAGAGGCATGTGAGATTGATACAGATTCACTTGTGTTGGACGGATTTTTGTGAAAATTTTTCTCAAATAAAGGCTAGCAGAAACCATTTTAAGTGTGTTTTGGTGACTCTTGAGTACCTCTTTGGATTGGCAGTAACTCCTTCATATTCCTCAGTTTTAACACACAGAAAATATACTTGATGAAATAAAGAAAAATATGATCGTCCATAATTTACTCCAGATGGATAAAGTTTATGTGAGCTAGCAAGTTTATTGTATTTGACATATATAAAGAAATTATAAATGTACATTAAGATGCACATCTTCAGAAAGAACAAATCAGGATTCTGTAAGCCAGGCAAGAGCTTCTCTTGGAAACGGCCAGTGGGGTTATTCCTACAGAGTGTCTTCTCCCTTGCCCTCCTTTTTTCAAATGTCCCTCCCAGTGTAGAACCAACCCCTCAGGACTTGCTTTTTCCCCCATCGCATCTATGAAAAACCCCACCCCAGCAAGTAAAGGCCATTCTCCTTTTATTTGCAGTTGAATGTTTTTCATAAAGCTGCTTTCTAAGAGCAGCCTGAAGTGCTGTGCCCTCCACCTCCCGTCCCCAGAAAAACAGGTGATTTGTCAGTGAATGTACACAAAGTAGTGGTTCCCAATATTTGAGTATAAATATTTTAACACCAGAAAAGTCCTATTTCTTACTGAAGTTTTAGTTTTAGAGAAAATAATATTGATAAATGCAGCAAAACTTTTCTACAATATCATATGTGTTAAATGGTGGTACATTTTCCAAATTAGTCTGCTCCAGTGGTGTCCCACATGACTAGAGCCCTGGGCATAATTTTAAATTTGTACACCCCATTAAAAAAGCAGAATTAATTTTATATTTAGTTTATCTAAAATATCATTTCAACATGCAGTCAGTATAAAAATAAATACATTATTTGTTTCATACAGTCTGAAATCCAGCATGCATTTTGCAGCTATAGCTTATCTTTCAGACTAGCCATACTTTATCTGTCAACAGTTGCACGTCCCTGGTGGCGGCCGTATCAGACCCTGAAGTTACAGATTTTGCTTCGTACTTTGGTAGATCCTTTAATCTGTAACTATGTAGGCCCTGGGGATCTGCCATTCATAAGTGATAACTTGCTATATAACATCCTAACTATTCACTTGTTAAGATACAACGTGGAAATGCCTGTTTTCTTACCAAAGGCATTTTAAAATCAGTTATGTCTTTGGAATGTTGAGTATTTCTGGACTTACGAATATTCAAAGGTCAGATACTTAGTTTTATTTATATCCATTATAAAGAAGAACTGAATATGAGCATTTCTGTTCTATATTCTCTAAGATGGAACAGGACATTTGTCTGTTAAGCTTATATCAATGCATTATAAATAGAACAATTCACAATATCAGGCTAACCAAGTTGTAGAAACCAGTTCATTACAAAGGTGCCAGAAAAATGAATCTTTAAGCTTTGACTGGAACCTATTCAATTTCTCTGAATGAAAGTCACCACTTGTAATTTTAAGTAATTGTTTTTTCTGTCTTTTAACTCAAGAAAACATTTATTGAATACCCATTCTGTTTAATGTGTTGAGTTAAACTCTGGAGTAGACCCAATAAATAAGCAACACCTGTCCTCAAAGTACTTCCTAATTAATAGGAGGAGGTAATGGAATGGCCTCTATCTGGAATGGTCGGCCTGCTTCGTTTAGCATTGCTGACTTAACATTTTGGATAGTCCTCCAGGAAGCCTTCACTAACCCCACAAGTTTGTCTTGGAAAGATGCCCTTCCTAAATGCCTTTCTAGAAGTCTGTTCTTCCTTTATAATAGCAGTATAACATACAGAATTATCCTTAGAATTGCTTCATTCCCTGTCTGTCATATGAGCTGTGAGCTCCATGACAGTAGGAACCGTGTTTGTTTTCCTCGTGTAACCCAGCATCGGGCACAAGTTGGTACTGTGTTGAATGAATAAATTGAAAAATATCTATACAATAGCTTTCTGGAATGAAACCAACCAAATAAAATTTAATGGCTTATCAGTCTTGCATTTAGATTTAGAAAATGTTATATACATACAAGATAAATAATACTCAACAAATCATTTTTAAGTCTGTTAAAATCAAGCACTTTTCAAGCCACTGATGATATACAGCTGTGAACGAGAGCCCAGCATCCTCTCGTGGAGCTTACGTTCTCATGAATGGAGACAGCCAATAAAGTAAACATGATAAATGACATCAATATTTTATAAATAAGCACTGTGAAGGAAATAAAGATGGATGTGATCTAGGGGATGTGATCAGTGTTATTTTAGATCGGACTGGATGTGAAGAAAAAGGTGTAGTTAATTATTGTGCAAGCACCATGTAAGCAGACCACCATTATGAAGGCTGGTACACTAATAGAATAGAAATATTGGATCTAGGTCAAAGGAGACAGACCTTTTACTCTACTATTCAGACCTGATACGCAGAGTATAGGGTACTTGAAAAGGAACGTTGATGAACTGTAAGGTAAGACGAATGTGAAAGCATTAGTTAGCCCTTGCACCCCTCACCCCACTCTACCAATTCTCTTCCTCTAATGTGCTATCACTGCCCACCTAGTTAAAAACCTAGAAGTGTCTCCTGGATTCTCACATTTACCTGACCAGCCATACCCCAACTGATCACAGAGTTTAAACTTTCTTTGGGTGGATTTCTGCAATCTGGATCGTCTCTCCACTCATACCAATAGCACTTCAGTGCTGCCTCTTTTCTTAGAACACAAGTTGTCTCTTGCCTGGTCTCCCCGCCTCCAGTCTTTGTCTTCCACACTGTCATCAGAGTTCTTTTTAAAATGTAACTTTGTTCTTATGTAAGGTGACCACATTGTTTATTGTATGAGCTGGGCACTTGAGCAAAAGAAGACTATTATGCTGAGGGGGGGGAAGGTGTAAACAGGGACTTAACCATCACGCTAATCATATAATCCCTGTTAAAAAATCTCCAGTAATTATCCCTTGCCACGGAAGAAGCCAAACTCTACCGTATTTAAGGCCCTGTCTCCTGTTACTCCCCATGGCACTCTGGCCTCCAGCCACATGCTCTTTCCTTGGCCCCAACACATACTGCTCTATGAAAGAGATCTGGAGCCCGATTGCTGGGCTTGACTCCTGTTAGGATGGCCACTGATGCGGGCTGTGAAAGAATCTGCAAAGAAAAGCAAGTGCAGAAGGTAAAGATTTTAGTTTAGTTTTTTTTTTTTTTTTTTTACTTTCCCAAGAGAGGGAAAGTGCTAGACGGGGAGAAATGCACCAGCCCTGAGGGGTTAGGGCTTTGGGCTTTTATTGGGTAACGCGGTGGTTGTAGAGCAGGATGTTTCAGCTAGGCTGCAACTCATTTCGCTGTTATCTTTGGGTGCAGAGTCCCATGTTGTGGTCTGGTAAGTCCTGTTTCGTACCCTCTGCACCTTCAGGGCGCTTCCAGTAACCTTCTAATCATAAAACAACTAGGGTCATGCTTTATGAGGTCCAGGTAACTCCTGCAAAGAGGGCCTGGAAAAGGGGCTTTTGTCCCATTAACTCCCAGCTCAGCTCCCCTTACTAGCTGTGTAACACTGAGCAAGTTACTTAATCACTCCATCTCAGTTCCTTCTGTAGAATGGCAATAATAGGATTAAGTGAGATGACACGTGAAAACACTTAGAATGGTGCTAGGAACACAACACTCCACAAATATTAGTTGTTATCTCTCTAATGTGGATCGTATTCCCAACTTCACAGGTTGAAAAACAAGCTTGGAGATGTGAAGTTGCCCAAGGTCACATAACTGCTGGAACTCGTTTCTCCACGGTACTGCAATTCTCTGAGTGGCTTAAGGTCAGGGAGAATCTTATTGCAGATTTTCCGCCCCAAAATACAGTGGCAGCTAGCTCTCAAAGAATGTTGCATGGTATCACACGGTCAAAGATTTGGAAAGCCACAAGAATGCGAAATACGAAAAAAGAGAAGAGTGTCAGAATTGGCTTAAAACTTTTTTGGAGTTGGGTATAAGCGGTAGGAACGTAGGAGATCATGGGAGAAATAACTGGGCCCATTAAATATTGAGATGACAGATGGAAAATATTTCCGCTTACTACAGTATCTCTCTAAACAAAGAGCGCTGAGCAACGTTGGAAGGGACTGCTTCTCCTATCACTGTCTGAGATAGGCCCGGCGCCAAGATGGGACTGGACAAACTCCGCACTTCCAAGCTGTCTTGGGACCTGGCCAGGGATCAGGGAAGTGATTCCATCGCTCCTACCGGAGTCCTTCGGTCCCACGCGGTCCCTACCACGCACCCACAACCCCGCCCCGCGAAGCCCTACTTTAACCGCCAGGTGAAGAAAGGGAAGCCGAGGCCCGGGTGCTATAAGCAGTGGGCCAGCTAAGGCGGAGGAAACCCCACAAGCCGGAAGCACCTGCAACTGCTTCCGGGTCAGGGAGAAGGGGCCAGCAAGGTACCTCGCGCGGTTGCGGGGCTGACGGAAACGCGGGCTGGCTTCTGAAGCGACGCGACCGCAGCGCGGCAAGCGCCACTGTTAACTCGCAGGCCGGTCCTGCGGCCGCCGCCATGTCGGTGCTGGGCGAGTACGAGCGACACTGCGATTCCATCAACTCGGACTTTGGGAGCGAGTCCGGGGGTGGCGGGGACTCGGGCCCGGGGCCCAGCGCCAGTCCCGGGCCGCGAGCCGGTGGCGGCGCGCCGGAGCAGGAGGAGCTGCACTACATCCCCATCCGCGTCCTGGGCCGCGGCGCCTTCGGGGAGGCCACGCTGTACCGCCGCACCGAGGTAGTGGCCCCTGGCGCCCGCCGCCCCCGCCCCTCCTTCGTGGGCGGCCGCGCTTTCCCCGCGTCTTGCACGGTGTCCTCACTTAGTGCTTGTGTGCACGCGGGGTATACGACTCAGGGTCCTGTCCACCGCTCCTCCAAGTCACCTGCACTAGGAATTCGTTAGCTAAGTGGTTTTATTAATTGGGTTTTTTTTGTTTGTTTGTTTTTTATTAACCCAGGGAACTGAGCAAGTCATTGAATCTTCTCTTAGCTTTAGTTTCCCCATCTATA